GTTACAGCAAGAATCCCCCTCTCACACACATAGGTGAAACACATGCACATTCACAACTGAGAACCTTTCACTTAATTTTCAATAGTGTGTGTGAGAGGTGTTCAGTAGTGAATGTGAGAGTATTTCAGTAGTGTATGTGTGAGGCCAGATGTTTTCAGTACTGTGTGTGTGTGAGGTGTTCAGTAGTGAATGTGAGAGTATTTCAGTAGTGTGTGTGCAAGGCCAGATGTTTTCAGTAGTGTGTGTGCAAGGTGTTCAGTAGTGAATGTGAGAGTATTTCAGTAGTCTGTGTGCAAGGCCAAATGTTTTCAGTAGTGTGTGTGTGAGGTGTTCAGTAGTAAATGTGAGAGTATTTCAGTATTGTGTGTGCAAGGCCAGATGTTTTCAGTAGTGTGTGTGTGAGGTGTTCAGTAGTGAATGTGAGAGTATTTCAGTAGTGTGTGTGCAAGGCCAGGTGTTTTCAGTAGTGTGTGTGCGAGGTGAGTTTGAATTTTGGCCTACACGGCCCCTCATAGTGAATGGGGTGACGTGGCCGGACCGTCCACACGGCAGCGTTGGGTGCTTCAACGGAGACGCTTCCCATTCACTTTGAATGGGGTAACGTCACGCTTTGCCGAACTGCATTGTGGTCGCGTCACTTTGCCTCCGTTGCTCGCTTCGAAAGGTGTGAAAAGCTCAACTTTTCAAGCGTCAACCGGCAAGCTTCAACGCACGCTGCCGTGTGGACGTACCGAAGTGGCTCTTCAGAATAACGGTTGGGCAATAAGAAGCTGAAAAGATAATATTGACAAGTAAACTTGTGATGCAGTTCTTATACATCATCTTTTGATTGGAATAGAATTTCGCAGCCTGACATACAGTACCTTTTTTTTAGATAGAGGTTCAAGCAGCATAATATCCTGACAAATGTACAAGAGCTTGCTATTCATCGCAAACACAATTAATGCAGAAAAAATGCATGTTTCAAAGTTGCACTGATAAGCACAACTTCGGTAAGGGATTTGTAATCTTGATAAGACTAAAAAAACCTTCTGAATTCAGTGTAAAATGCTGTGGATCATAGTCTCCAGCTCCTCGTCTTTTCACTTTCCTCCCACTTCTTCTCTCTTCTTTCTCCCCCTGTCTCCCTCTCCCCCCTCTTGCTGATAGCTGTCATTAGTTTAGTCTTCTCCTGTTTGGGGGAGATAATGACACAGCAAAGCTTTTGTGTCTATCAGTTTGTGTGTGGTTGTTGTTGCTCCCTGTCATTAAGCAGCCAGTCTGTGTGTTTAAAATGACACAGCTTCGACTGTTTGAAGCTCTGCCAGCTTTACCATCTGATCCCAGATCTTCCTCCAGCAAACAGGTCGCCCCCACATGCCTCAGTCCAGCCACAAAAGCTCCAGTGTAGGGCCCAGAGTCGGCAGGTTTTCCCTCTCAAATGCTGTTGTGGACATTAGTATGCACATATTCTACATCACTGCATGGCAGAACAGAGTCCTACATAAACAGCATTTTAAGAGCATCTTCCGTCTTTCAATTAATATTTGAAATGTTCAACAATCTTCACAGATATTTGACCTATTGTACTTACTAGCTAACATAAAGAACCAAACATATCACCACTGTATGCATAGAATACGATTAAAAAGCATTTTGTTGTCTATACTGTAGATTTATGTATATTTTTTTGACAGAATGTTCAGTAGAGATCATTCAAACTCAACTTTGAATGGTGTTAATGATTGTATTTTATATAGTTATAGTGAGATTATTCTCCTTAGTCTTCTTCTCTGCTCGGATTCTTACCCTTTACACCTATAAAATAAATACAACATCACAGAAATTATATCTGCCTCTGCTGTGGCTTGGAATTACATATTGGATGTATGTTCGGATATTTCTGATGACAACAAGTTAAGACGCAACAAAGATTATCCTAAAAATAAAGGACTGGAGGTAAATGAGAAGCACACTACAAAGATGCCAAAGATGAATCGGCTTAATAAATGCTTCACATTTAGTTTGGAGAAAGTATCCCTATAGGTTAAATTAATACCTATTACCACTAGATGTCCTCGATCTGACATGAAGCTCTCAATACATACAGTATGTATTCAGAATCTGATGAGAGAATCACAATGAGAAAGGGAAGAATACAAGCTGATGCAAATATTTTGAACTTCATCAAATCGTACAGTAAATAAAACCCATAGGAATCCTCCAAATTCATGAAAATGTTTGTAATAATAAATTAAAAACCCTTCATGATAAATGCAACCAACATGATTTTAGTGAAACAATGCAGTTATTTAGTTTCAAAGATTTTACATTTCTTAAAAAGAAGAGGAAATATAAGTGATCCTGCTCTTTTTTTCTAGGTTTTTTGGGCGTGTTGAATGTAGACACATCTGCATGTGCAACATTGGAATGCAAACTACATTGAGGCAGGTTTTAGCATTAACAAATGTTATTCTGCAAAGTCAAAGTAACATTCTCTGTTTTATTATGTTTTGTCTTTTTGATGTCCTTCTTGTTTCCTCCTCACCCTAAATCTTTTACAGTTACTGTAACAGTTCAATGGAATACTCAGTAGGTGGCGATGTCGTTTTAAATATTAGAGAGATCAGAGCTGAGCCTATCAGGTTCTCCATATTGTACTGGGTCAATACAAGACATTTGATTTCGAACTGTGGTTAAATGACTGAAGTACAACGTTTTTCAGGAATCACTTACATCATATCAGGTAGAATTCAAAATACATATTAATATTACAATTCCTGCTTTGAGTTTGTCACTGCTCTGTGCACCTTGGAAGTAGGTGAGTTGTTCTGGTAATCATTACTCTGCTTCTACTATCTTGTGACAATATACAAATATAAATAATCCTTACATTTCCAAACGACAGCTTCAACACAACATCAATGGATTTTTTTAAATGTCAGTTAAGCATTACGTTTTTTTTATAAATACAAAAAGTTAACATTTGGTCTTCTACAGATACTATTTACAGATCAATATTTGAAATGTATTTCATTGTAATGTATTTGTTTTATAATTTTCTTACATTTTATTTTACAATATTTTTACATTAATTAAAACAATTCATTAAATAATTATTAGAATTCAATGTTCAATCTTTTTTTAATTTTTTTGTAGATTCTATATTGTAATTACATTTTTTCCTATTTTAGATTTCTATTTTAAATGTTGTTTTCTTTGTTTTAAGTGGTCGTATTGATGGATTTAAGTGGTATTATTTATGTTTTTATAAATGATCCTATTGATTATTAATAAGTGTGGATGAACGAGGCATACTGTTTTTACATGTTTCCTTTCCTAAATATGAATTATAAATAGCCTACTTATCTTTTGAATTCATTATATTTCTATGTCCATCTTCATTTTATTTAATCTAATTTAACCCTCTTTTTTCATTAGAAAGCCTCCTCAACTGAGGGCGGGGCCAATTGGCGGCGCGTGCACGTTCCTTCAGGCTCGCGCCCTTGTAGCCACTGCCGCGTCTCGTGCACCAGCGCCAGTGAAGCAGCTCGCGCTCTCTGCAAAGTTCTCGTGCTGTTTCCTACTGTCAGTCCTCCCCGCTGCACCATGCGTCTCCTCCCGAAGACACTATGGGATGTACCCGCTCTGAGAAGACACTAACCCCGGGCTTTGCTGCTGCCTGTGTCCGCTCTCTGCTCTCCTTCTGCCGGGGAAACCCTGCCGCGCTACTCTGAGCGTTTTCATCCACACCGCGCCGCTTTTCCTTTTTAATTTATTTGTTGCCTGCCGCTTCATTTATGGACCACAGAAGCTCCGAGTAGAGTGTTTGTCATTTTCGTTCACACTGCTGAAGATGGAGTCGGTGATGGAGAGGGAGTGCAGCGCGCTGGGGGGGCTTTTCCAGACTGTCATAGGAGACATGAAGGTAACATTATTATTATTTCTTCTGACTTGTCATTAAAACTGTTGATACCTCCAGCGCCTGTAAAATCTCCTGTTGCATGAAAGCAGGAAAAGCAGACATTTTATTCCATGTGAAATTTCAAGGCGTCATCGTTAATTTGCTAATTATCCATGGGGAGAAAGGGGGAGTGAAGTGGGTGTGTTCAGGGCCTGGTGCCTTTATTTCTGCAGTTTACTCCAACAAAATAAAGAGCCCACTGCATGTAAACCCAGATCCACACACAGCTAACAGGATGATTGATAGTGACAGACTGTTGCAGTGCTATCACAGAGCAATGTCTTACCTTAGTTCCATACGAAAAATATGAGTCTTTTCAGGAATGTTTTCCAAGGTTTCTTTTATTACGACAGGGCTGTTAGTGACTGAGGATCGACTGGTTTGGATTATCCGATAGAGTCTTGCATATAATCTAATATAAATCTGCTTAGTTAAACTTGCTTATCCCTAAAAGTTACATTATGTTGTGCAGCAACATAGAAGGAAGTTGGCCAGATGCCGTAGATACTAATATGTTGTCATGATTGGTTGATTTATGAATCAACAATCAAACATGACCTTGTTCCAGCTTCTTAAAGGGACCCTATTATGCTTCTTGGGGTGTTCCCTTTCCTGTCGGGTGTTTCTACAGGAGTTTTTCTCCCCCTGCCTGAAACGCCTCGATTGGACTCCTTTGTTTACTTCAAAAACAAAGTGACATCACTATGTAACACTTGCACTTCAATTGGCTAGCGCTCTGCCACATTGTACGTGATAGGCTAAGGGGTGGGTCATCTCTACTGTAGGCAGTTGACCAATCATAACAGAGCCGGCCAGCTAACCAATCAGAGCAGACTGGGTTCTGGTTTCAGACAGAGAGTGAAAAGAGGTGCTGCAGCACAGGCAGTATGAGAAAAATAAAGAGCTTTTTGAACATTAAAGCATGGAGACATGTCACAGTAGAGACACCAAATACTGATATACACCTGAATATGAGCATTATAGGGCCCCTTTAAATGTGAGGATTTGCTGCTTTCCTCTGTCTTATTACTGAATATTTTTGTTGATCGGAAAATATACGCATTTTTGGGGGAGCTTTGGTTAATTGTAATGGACGTTAGATATTAAGAAGGAAAATAACTATTAGATGATATTTTAGTCTATCAAATGTGAAAATATAACTTTGTTTTCTTGTATGATAACGTTGGCTCTCGTATGTATGCATACATAACAGGGTTTCCCACACATAGACTCAGGGCCAGCCCTGACCAATTTGCTGCCCTAGGCAAGATTTTGTCCCCCCCCCCCCAAATGCAGACACTCACTATGACTCGCATAGGTATATTAACGGCCGCCCAAGTATATTTCGCGACCCATTTTTTTTTTTTTTGTCCACGATCACAACGCCATCTGCGATCGATTTACTTGTGGACAATGATTCCTCGCTCTACGCCTCCTGTACCCAGTCCCGGACTGGCCATTGGGAGGACCGGGGGGTTTCCCGATGGCCTGGCCTGTTAAGTGGCCTGCCTCACAGGGTGACTGGCTGTCCACATGATGTGGCCTGCCGACATGGCCACTGTCATAAAGATCATAAATCAAAGCCCTTGTTTGGTCTCTGTGTGTAATTCAAGCTCGGGATAACCTCAGCTCAGGTGAGGTAAAGTACTCTGAGTGTTTAGATAGTTAAAGGGGACCTATCATGCAAAATGCACTTTTGTACGTCTTTTATACATGAATATGTGTCCCCGGTGTGTCAGGGAACTCACCAAGTGTCAGAAAACACAACCCCCTCTTCTTTTACCCTCCATACACCAAATCTCTTAAAAACGGGGCTGCAACGGATCTGATACAGACTGATACAGATTTGAAATTATCTCTGACTCAGAAACGGGGTGCTCTGCCTATGGCAACTCTCTCCACCTATTAGGGGAATTGAGAGGGTTGCGTGGCATGGTAACAGCATGGTAACATGACGCTCGTGCCTCGCCCCCCTCCTTTGCAGGGGGGCGTGGTCAGCTGCAGCTCATTTGCCACAGAATCAGCTCTTGCAAAAACAGGGCTGGAAAGAGCACAATAGAGTGAAAATGAGGCATGACTAAAATGCATGATCTGTTTGGGTATTTGAAAGAAAACTTTTATTGAGAAGATGATCACTAGTGACAGAAGTTTTCAAAACCGTTTATGGTCTCCGGTTACTCCAGTCCAATGCCGACGCAATTGCACAGCGTTAGGAAATCCGGCCTTCAAAAATAAAAAGTTGACTTTTTCCCCAAAACAAATTCAAATTATTTATTTTTTTGGCTCTTCCACTCACACCATCTTGCGACCCACTTTTGGATCGCGACCACCAGTGAGAACCACTGCCTAGAGGGATTTGAGTCGACCCGCCACTTAACATCACATGGATAGGTTCCCTAAATACAGTTACCATTTTTTGAAATAGTAACCCCATGTCCATATGTTTTTTGTGGGTAGTAGATTTAAACTATAGGGCTTCCATTATGGGCCCTGCCTGTACCTGTTCGCCTGCCGCCAGCGTGCACCCCGAAACTGTGAAGGCGTCTTGCTATCGACCAACAGAAAGTTTATGTTACTGTTGTGGCGTCACAAACGGCGCGTCCCGTCGGAGGGGCTTGTAGTTTATACTGTATAGGAGTGTTGAGGTCTGTGTTAAACTAACCTGTTAGGATAAGTAAGGTTTGTCGTGTACCTGTGATGCATCTGCCAGGTGCTGACCGGTCTCGGCGGTCTGCAGTCAACCTAACAAAGTAACACACACACACACACACACACACACACACACACACAGCACACACACACCAACACACACACACACACACACACCACACAACACACACACACCTACACACTACACAGCTGTTTCCGCGTATGTCATAATAACCAGACAGGTGTTGTTCGAACAGTGTGTGTTGTGCTGGTTCACAAAGGGAGGTATGGAAATCTGCCCACACCCTTCTTTATCTACGTCTTCTATTCCTCTTCTTCTTTAATGAGCCTGTTCTCCTCCTCTCCACTCCCCTTTCTTTGTTGCTACTCCTCTTCGTCTTTCTGACCTGTACCCTTATCCCCCTCTCCTCTCTTTCTCTTTTCTTCATTTTTTGTTGTTGTCAAGCCCCACCTCCCTCTCTCTTCCATCCTGCGCTCCTCTTATCCGTTTTGTGTTCCCCCGCTTCTTCACCTTCTCTTCATTTTCCCACTCCATTTCCAAGCACCCTTCCATTTCTATTCTACATTTCTTACTCCTCACTTTGCTCTCCTGATCATTCTATTCTATTTATCTTCTTCTTCCTTTCCTCCCTTCATTTGTGTCTTCTTGCATATTGTTTTCTCTGCACATTCTCTCTGCTTTTATGTTCCCCTTGTTCATGCCAAATGCGACACCACGTGTTCTTAAGTGTAAAGATTCAACCTGCTTCTGTTTGTGTATTCACAACATGATGCTGCAGATGTGAGCTGTGAGAGATTCTGCATCGGTATCTGAAACAGAGTGACTCTGTGTTTCATGTTCTACTCATAAATGACCACCATTTTCAAAAAGAGTGCAACTATGGCTGGTCCAAGCAAGCTTATGTCAAACTACTTGAATACCAGTTAGGGGTTTAATGATTATATTTCACAAGTTCAAGTGAAATATATTATCGACATGTTGAATTTGAATCTACAAGCGTAACAAAGAACTGAAACTGTAGCGTATCTTATAGTTAGAAAAATGATAATAGCATATACGGAAGGCGTCTACGTAAGAATAAGTTGTGTTATTCAATTCTTTACTCCATAAACACAAACACTACAATGTGTTAAACGCTTCTCTCAATACTTTCAGACTCCTGCTGTTGGCCCTCAACTCCAAAGCCTAATTGATCTTAAGGATAACTATTTTTTAACAACATACAGATAATTAAAAGAAGGCTGTCACTGTAGTTTTTAACATACATTCTGCAAGAATAAGCAGCCGTTAAGGGTAATTTTCAGCTTTGGATGAACGCTATGCTGCTAGAATTGAGTCAAAAAATAAAAGCAGTAAGTGTGTACTGCATGGTAAGGGAGATGCGCCCAGATGTAACAGTAATGCTTTATTGCCCGTGATAAATATGATTCAATAAATGGATGTTTTCAAAGTAAATGGATAATCGTTTTAAATAATCGTGATATCAATTATTGTACCAAATAATCGATTATTTGATTTTTGCCATAATTCGACAGTCCCTACTTAAAAATTGATTCTTATTTTTCATCTTTGATTGCTGTCTGGAATACATACAATTTTTATTTCAATCCAAATGCAGCTTACCGTTATACAGCGTGAGTGGTGTCATTCATACATGTGAATCACAGACAGCGCCAGATGCAGGATTTCTCTTGTTAGCACTAAACGGGTGGGTGAGAGACTTCACTGTTCACTGTGGAGAGAATCCTGCTGCTCGGAATTGTTTTACATGCACAGTGTGTCTGTCTGTTAATAGCCTGAGAGTCAGGTAACAGCCCCCGATCCTTAAACTTAAAGATAAACCATGAAACATAGTATAACTCACTAGCTTAATGTCACTATCCTTGCACATCTGTCCACTTATAATAAGTTTGTTTTTATTTTATTGCTCACAAAGCTGAGAGATTATATCTGAAACATAAAGTATCCCTTTTTCCACTGAAAAGGAACCTTAGAGTTCTCAGAACATTTTAAACCTGGCTTGTAGCAAAGTTCTTCTTTGTCGCCATCTGCTTTTACAATCAGAACTCTGTTTCAGGATTACACGGGCATTGGCGACACAAGGTGGGACCTATTACTGCATTGTTAATAAGGCACAGATGATTAAGGACAGGATATAATAAGATGATATTTTGGTATGTATTTATTTTCTTTAGGGTTAAAGGCCCGTATAATGCTCATGTTTAAGGTTCAAATGTGGTTTGGCTTCTGCTGACATGTTTTACATGTATAAGTTCAAAAGCAGAGTCTTGCTCTATTGGTAGCTGGCCGGGCAAGTTGTCATCGGGTCATACTGTTGTAGACGATGTCCTATAATGATGTGAGGAAGCATGTTGAGGCAAGCATGGGACAGAAAAGAGACTTCCTGTTACTCCTGTGAGAGAGTCAGACCATTGACAGGGTAAGGCACATGTCACTATATCTTATTGTGCGAACACTGGGAAACACCACAATTCTACTTGAAAATAAAACCACTTTTTAACTTGCTTAAACAACAGATTCCCTGACTGTGTTGGTTGCATTGTGTATGTGGTTTAATGTAATGCCTCTAGCATATGCTAGCCTGAATGCTAATCACCATTTATCTGGCAACGAGCCGTCGTCTTAATGCACCTCTGAGCTCAA